GGCTGACTTTAACTTGGATCCCCCGCGGCAGTGCGGCGTTTGGTGGCCCGGAGCCCCTCTCCCGGCCAGACAGAGGGGAAAACACGATGGGTTGTCGAAACTAAAAGTTGGGCGCACCAACTAACGTGTCGGTTGGCGTTGGCGGCGGTAAAGATAACATTTTTAGTTCGCAGGCCAATCATTTCCTGTATCGAAAATGTTCCGTTTTAATCTTCATTCCCCGTGTGTTGACGCGACACCGCGACACAGTAGAGCGGAGTGCGGTAAGCCCCCCACCCCCTCCAAACGTCCTCTGGCTGGGCACCCCCGCCCCACCACAAACCAGGTGAGTTTAAATGCCTCCGGCGCGCGATATTTTCCACGACCAGCGACTCGTCGTCCCGTGGCCGGGTAATAATCAGCATTCGACCCGCCGGTCGACCGGGGGGCGGCGGGTAAGAAGTGGGGGCGGAAGTAAGCTCGTTAATTCAAGCCCATGCTAGGAGATGTTAGGTGTCTACGACTGCCGGGATTTAAATTAGATTAGGTGGCCTTCATGGGTCGTCCTGCGCCCCGCCACCCAACGACAGAGAGATTGATAGAGGGAGAAAAGAAGATCGAGTAAACAAGGGGACCTAGTTCGCGCGTGTGTAACCAACAAATAGACGGAATTACGCGTCGAGACAAGTGACGGGGGGCCTGGGAGCCTCGTGGCGCACCCTGCTGGGCCCGCAACCCCCGAGTGAGCGACACAGTTCGAGGCGAAAAGTTACTCGCTTCATTGCTAGCAGCTAGCACGTCGGCTCGACTCCCACCTAGCAATTATTTTGTTGAATTCTGTAAACTACCCGCAATGTCCAGGACAATTTACCCATTAATCGCAATTTTTGACGAACTATCTGCTATGCTCTTTGCTATGCTATCTGCTATGCTCTTGACACATTACCTTTTTGGGAAGAAAATTGTAATGTACCGCCTTTTGTGATTATGTTCAATAGTTGAACGCTCACACGTTCGAGTTATTTCAGCCGTTTGAGTAATAAGAGATGCGTTCCATAACGCCGTGAGGGGTCATCCAGAAAGTACGCCCGTTTTTCACCGTCACGAATCTGCCAAGTTCATCCTCTACGAGTTCTCTTGACGCCTTGTAGGTAGGCAACATCTTGCCTGCAGTGCATGCGCGTACTGCAGGATGGCCTACCCGGAGTCTCGCAGGCGCCGAGCACTCATAATTTGCCGAATGAATTCGTGAAAAACGAACGTACTTTCTGGACGATCTCTAACGCACTGCGTGGCCAGCCCGGGAGGGGGGCATATGGCACCCCGTGTGTGGGGGGGGGGGAGAGGGAGAGAGGGGGGAGAGAATATGTGCGTGTGTGTGTGTGTGTGTGTGTGAGAGAGAGAGAGAGAAAGGGGGGGGGGAGGTCTTTAACACTGATACGCTACTGACTGTTCGGCCGACCACTCATCAACAGCCATTCCTGCTGCTGGAGGATTTCCATGGCCCCCGGCATATCGTAAGAGTAGCGCTCTGGCTTTTGGTGCGTACCACCTCGGACCTTCACCCGACTTATACGTCAAACAGAGGTCTTCTACCTCCACCTTCCCCCTCTTTCTTGAGGCAATTGGAACGAGAGCGTGTGCGGCAGCCCCTCGGGCGGCCCGGACCCTCCGCGGAGTGGAGTGGGTAGGGGACACCCAACTCTTCCATCG